CATTTAAAAAACAAACAACCACTTTAGCGTCTGACATCATCGCACTTTAGCGTAGACCATCGCACTTTAGCGTGACCATCGCACTTTGGATTACCATCGCACTTTAGAGTCCTACATATGTATATAGATATAAGAAGATGTGGTATGAGTGCCAATGAGACAACTCTCCATCCAAGTCAAAATTTATAAAGGTAAACCAATATACGTCAAAGTACGGTCTTCAACACGGAGCCTTGGCTCACAACGAACAACAAGCTATAAAGGGCCCCAAAAATTACTAGTGTAAAACCATTCAAACGGGAAAACCAACGGTCTAATCTATATAAAAAACGAGAAACGAGAAACACTTCTGAACAGCATCAACATACGACAACTACTGAACATCAGATTCCTGACTTAAAACAGCTGCAAACAATTGCAGCGGATTTTAACGTTTTAATGGTACCAAACCTTCACCCTTATCTGAAACAATAGTGTAACATATCAACATAGAAAGACACACTATAAAATATCAATTAAAATGGCTTAACTCAATCAAAAGACATATATATATATATCTTCCGGCTGAGGATGGAACAAAAATTTTCCAACTCAAATTTGCATATCTAACATTGTTGGGCTAAATTTGTGACGAAGTATGTTTAAAATATGCTGTTAGCCCTGCATGACCACAGGTTATCCGATGGAGAACGTCTGTCGTAAAGTTGTCCCATATTTAGACGTATATAATATAACTAAAATTTGATGTGACGGCATAGTAAGTAAAATTATCATCCTTTACGACAGAAAAAATAACAGCTGATGTGCAAGGTAAACCATCTACTTGCCACTATACATCATGTTCTGTGTTACAACCCTGGATAAATCCGACGAAGAAAAGGCATTACTTGACCGACGAACGCTATATTTTATATAGTCTAGTTGGTCGAGTGGTCTAGGATGTTAGACACAGTGCAGGCGGTGTTGTCACGATGTCTCACATGCAGGGGTTCCAATTTACATATCTAAGATTGTTGGGTTAAATTTGTGACGAAGTATGTATAAAATATAGTGTTAGCCCTGTTTAACAGCAGGTTATCTGATTGAAAACATATGTCGTAAAGTTGTTACATATTTAGACGTATAAATACAATAACATAAAAATATAAAAAACCTATGTTTCGTTCTCCGGTGACTTCTATTAGATAACTTCTCGAATACATTTTTTTTAGACGTACTGTTTCCGATTGAGACGGCGTCAACCACTTATCCATTGAATTTAACTTTAGCATCGGTAATTGACGTGTTGCTATCTAAATTAAAACATTTGCATAATGCTCTATCGAAATTACACACAGTCGAAACTACAGTTCATTATATACAGTTATGTTGCTATGTAAATGGAAGCCTTTTTAATATTAAAACCATCTGAACGTAATATAAACGTACTATACCGATTTCAGAGCGTACCAATTTTCACGTTATACATGTAAATAAAGTATTGGAACAAGGCGAACTGTGTAATAATATATCATTTGGGGATAACAATGGCTCTTTGCTCCGAGTTCAATCTAAATGTTATCGTTGATCTCCAGGATCCACAACATTGGCTCTGGGCTCATTTGAGCAATGCTGTTTTCATTACTGATAGGAACTTTGGATCTCGTTTAATTCTAAATTATTACTTTTTGCTGAAGTAAAATTAATAAAATATAAAATTTTTATTATGCGAAAGATCTTTACAATTTGCATGATATTTCGAAAACATTTTTCATCTGTAATTTTGAAACAAAAACGATTAATTTGTGATAACGATGATGATGAATGGCTTTTAATGTCCAGTAGCCAATTTAATGCATCATGAGATATGAATATAAAACATGCTTTGTACTAGACTGACATACTGAGCCGGATATTTATTTAGATATTTTGTAATGTAACAGTCCGTAGGAAGACATATCACCTTACTCGAACACATTGTTCTGACTTCGAGCCGAACAGTATTTGCTCTTTCTTCTAAATGGCGTGTGCTAGGCGGAGATGCAAACAATTCCAATTTTCAAGTGCCTGGTTTGACCTGGCTGGGGTTCGAACCAACGACCTTCCGTACTCGAGGAGAGTAAGCTTCATCGAAACCACCAAGGCTATAAAACGGATACGTTGGTGTATGTCAGTTAGACATTAATCCAACGAAACAGATACCATAAGACATCTGTAGGCTAATAGTAGGTCTTCAATATTGATATCAACTTCAATGACCATCATCAGAAACGCTCAGGATCAAAAGTTTTAGACGCAAAATAATTAAAAGGAGAGCATTAAAACTTTTGAGTAGTACATTCAATTAAATAGATAGTTTGTCGCAAATACAATATTTAAAACCTGATATCTATGATGAGTTTATTTCCATTGACATAATTTGAGTTGGAGATATCGTCCTTGGCTGCAATGTTAAAGATCAAACTTGTTGATTTTGTAATTAAACAAAACTAAAAGGTATGGTAGAACAATCAAATGTGATAAAAGACCTTTACTAGATCGTAGTGACGAATATGAATAATAATATTTTATTTCCAAAAGAATCCACTTATAGGCATATACAATGTAAAAAATATATAAGACAAGACTTTAACAAAAGAAAATTGTTCGAAAAACTTTATATCTTTTAAAGTTGAGCAGTCTAGATAACAATTTGTATTGGTCGATTGATGAAGGATTGCTTGCAGGTTGCCTTTTAAGATGGCGACGAAGCAAAACAAGTACTTAGTATAACTCAAATTACAACAATCGAAAACTATCAATACCGTCCAGGCATGGGGTAATTTCAAGGATGAAAAAAGACTGCATGCAATGAATGCTACTAGGTGGAATAGCAAAATGCACATGATCCGTTTAATTTTGAACATTCTAGATGTAAATTGGAAAAAAATGATTGTGAAAGCAATACTGCATATGACAGAAAGGTGTTATGTAAAATTTGTAAGATTCTCAAACACTTTGAGGATGCTACACTTCTTGGTCAAAGAGAGAAAAATGTCAGTGGTAGTATGGTGACCCCAGTTACATTACACTTGAACAAAACATTTGCAAGCTGTTAAGTGATTACAGCACTAAATGTGTGCCTGCTCTATTGGCATCACTCTCAAAAAGGCTATGTAAATATGAGGAGGATAATGTATACACAACCTCATCAATTCTTGACACTAGATTTAAACTTTTATGGAGCAAGACAGAAGATGTTGATGATCTTATGGTTGATTTGAAAAAGAAGTTTTCTTTGATTAATTCTCTCAAATCAGAGGATGATGATGCTGACAGCATTTCCTCTTCTGCTAAAAAAATTAAAAACTGATGATTTGTTCAGTTTTCTTCCTAGAGGTACTCCTAAGCGAAAACGTCACATGTCAGGATCAACTCAGTGTATTGCCACTTGCATTGGAGAAGAGTGTGACACATCTGATGCCAATCCTCTTTTGTATTGGAAAGTACAAGAAAATAAATTTCCAATAATGGCAAAATTAGCATCAAAATATATGTCTGTTCCTGCTTTATCTGCACCAGTTGAACGATTATTCAGTAAAGCTGGAAAAGTTTTCAGACCAGACAGAATGTGTATGAAAGATGAAACATTTGAAACTTTAATGATGATTAAATATAACAACCACCTTGTGTAGACTTAAAAAAAACCTATTTAAGGGTTACCAGGATTTCAATACAAAATATTGTATATATAATGTTTCTTTTGATTATAAGATTTATAAAATGTAATGTGTAATATAATGCATTACTTTGGTAAAGTAATTTTAATGTAATGCATTACTTTCCAAAATACAAGTAATTGTGATTGTATTATAATGCTGGTTTTGTCAAAGTAATTGGAATACAATGCATTACATTGCTATGTAATTCGCCCCATGCATGAAACCGTCCAATACTTTCCATGAGAGAGTTGAAACCCCCGTTTTCGTATCATTACACAATTTATATACTAAGAACTTAGTTATAATGCATCAATCGAGTTATATTATTACTAAACATTAGTGGTCATAAAGTTGATAGTTTTATCATCATAGAATGACAGTCAACCAGAACAACATCGAATGATGTAAAACTTTATAGATTTAGTGCACCCGACGCGTTTTTAATACCTTTATCCGAAACGTTCAAAGGAAACATTTCGATAATGTTATTGCAAGGTTTTATTATTTATAGATTTGTTGAATAAATGGAAATGTTGGGAAAACGTGAATGAGTCAATAATCCAAACACACAAACACACATACAAAGATGCACACATAAACAGTAACACAAATTAACATTAAAATCATTGTAACCACCAAAGAGGATTTCACATTAATATATTTGTATTTTTATTTCGTTTCAGTGTATTTCCTTTGCAACAAAGAGGTCATGCACTAAGTTGCTGGAAAATAGATCTACACAACACGAGTTTAACATTATAAAAGGTGTCGCAAAAGGATGAAAGTAACCAAATGATAATAATAAGTTGATACATGAAGGATAAGAAAAATATTCTCATTACGTATTCTACAACTGTCTTTATTTGGTAAACAAAAATGATTAAAATACTTTTACTTTTGATGTCCTTAAGTAACCAAATAAGTTTACACGTACACGCAGAAAAGTTTATTGCGATTATGGCACAGTCAAAAAGTCACATGTTACCAATGATTGCAATTTCAAAGGAGTTAAATAAGTTAAATCATTCAGTAACATTTGCTGTGGCATCAAGGATGAACACTGACTTGATAAATGATGGATTTAATATTTCAACCATTATAGCAAAGAGTCTTGATCAATTTTATTTCGAAGACATTATAAGAGAGATGGTAGAAACGATGATGTCAGGAGCTAAAATAACAGCATTGACCGAGTGGTTGAAAGGGACCAACGCACTCTGTCATGGATATTTAAATGACACGGCGCATGTGCAAGAATTAGCCGCCCAGCATTTTGATTATGCCATCGTAGACTATGCACCTACTCTCTGCTTCTCTGTCATGGCGTACAAATTAAATCTGCCGTTTATTTCTTTAGGGGCCTTTATTGACCCTTCAGTGAACAGAGTGCCATTTAACCCATCATTCATGCCAACACTGTTTTCTAGTTTTAGTGATAAAATGACTTTCCTTGAAAGAATTATAAATACTGTTAGATATCTAATGCTATCATTACGTCCTTCAGTACCTTCTTTTGAGAATTTATCAGAACGATATGTACCGGAAAAACAAAGTATTTCTAATGAAAAAATAAAACAAAAGTCCTTAATGTATATTGCTGATAATGATATGTTATTGGAATTTCCACATCCAGTCCCGTCAAATGTCATTATGTGTGGTGGACTTGCTGCAACACCTGCGATTCAGTTACCTTACAAACTAGATGATTTTGTTCAAAGTTCCCAAGATGGCATCGTAGTTGTTTCATTCGGAAGCATTATTAAAACTCTTCCAACGAACACATTAGGCAAAATGCTCGAAGCTTTTAATATGGTGACGAACTTAATTTTCGTAGTTGCCACAGGAAAAGAGGTAAAATATATGAAAAATGTTTTGATGTTGCCATGGATACCACAAAATGACTTATTAGGACATTCGAAGACTAAGTTATTCATTACTCATGGAGGTAAAAGTAGTGTTTTTGAGGCTCTACACCACGGCATCCCAATGATAGTTTTCCCCATTGGCGTAGACCAACCAGCAAATGCTGCCGTAATTACATCCAAACATTATGGAATAACTATGGATTTTTACCATTTTACAGTTCAAAACTTAGTAGAAAATATAAGAAATATTGCCTTCAAGGGCCATTTTAAATCTAACATAATGAAAGCTTCTGCGATTTTTCATAGCCGTCCACAAACTCCACCTGAACGAGCTGCATACTTGATTAATTTAGTTACCAAATATGGCAACGAACACTTCCGACATTCTTCTATAGATATGCCTTGGTATTCGTTCTACCTTATAGATGTAATTATCACTTTTATAACAATAGGGTTTTTATCAGTAATGTGTCTACAATGGATTTGTTGCCGAGTTAAAAGAAAACACAAACAGGAGTAAAGAGAAGAAATGAATATCAAGGTCCATACAGAACATATGTTTTCAAGCCATATTATTAATTAGGTGAAAAGGATGAAATGATTTAACAAAAATGGGAATCAAATATTCAAGTTATAGGGTCACAAAGCATAAGTAACTTTAGTTTTAGAAAGTTAGCGAAAACAGACAGCTATCATTATGAGTATTACTAGTTATCTTTGAATTTGTATTCTTGGTACTTGTAAGAATGTTGCGAAAATCTTAAAACGAGTACAATGTCCCGATAGCAAAGATAATCCCTTTGTTCTATCTTTTTACATATTGGTAGATAAATCAGACGGGCGTAGATTCCACACAGTAAGCCGGTCTTATCAATCATTGTTACCACAAAGTTCGAAAAAGTTATTCAATTTTGAAATGAGAATGTACTTAATTTCTTTTTCTGATGTTCAATGATCGACTCACTCTGAAACAGGAAATTAATAAACTTATCCAAGTATGCATCCAAATGTAAAATGACCTATGCTCTGTCTTTGTTTTTTTTTATTATAACTATAGAAATAACATAAAATCAAGAACATGATCCTAACGGTATACATGAATTATGAAAGGATGATCAACTCAGAAACGAAATGATACACTTTCTCTAACCTCCACAGTATGAAAATTGTAGTCCTTTTTTCTTAATTTTCCTTTTTGTCTTTTTGTATGACAATTTTTCATCTCAATAGATATAAGAAGATGTGGTATGAGTGCCAATAAGACAACTCTCCATCCAAGTCAAAATTTATAAAAGTAAACTATTATAGGTCACTGTACGGTATTCAACACGGAGCCTTGGCTCACACCGAACAGTAAGCTATTAAGGGCCCCAAAAATTACTAGTGTAAAACCATTCAAACGGGAAAACCAACGGTCTAATCTATATAAAAAACGAGAAACGAGAAACACTTATGAACCACATCAACAAACGACAACTACTGGACATCAGATTCCTGACTTATGACAGGTGCAAACAAATGCAGCGGGTTGTTTTGTATCAGCCAAGTAAAGAAGTCATAAGTGAAACGTCCTTGATCTTGTCTGGAAAATAGTGATTAACATGTCTGGAAAATAGTGATTAACAGATAACCTATGGCTACATCTAATCTCAAGGCTATTTGCCTTTGATGAGATTAAACGTTTTCAGAACCATTAATAATCTATAAATAATATACATGAAAGCAAGTGTCTTTTATAACACCATTGTTACATGGTACCAATCAGACCACACGTTCGATGACTATCAACACAAAGTTAATCAGGTCCACACGTACCTCTAGGTGGTAAATAGAAAACTGGTAAACATGAAGCAACAGTGGATTACCGATGACCAAATCTCGTTAATCCATTAGGATTATTTAGCCGCATTAACCATTCTTAACATTTTCTTTTTTAAAACTTAATAAATTTATCTTAGATTTGATTAAGAATAACAAGAATTTGTGCAGCATAAATTACATCGTTTAGAGAATTTCAATACTGATTGAATATCTGTGGACTTCTCAACTTGCTTAAGGTCGAGACAATATGTAGTATAATGTCTGTCTATTTTTTTTAGATCCATGGATTGACCACTGTCTTTTGTAAGGTTGTTTATTTTTGTTGTGTTGCTGTCTCTTTGAAATTTCAATTACATATATAAAAATATTCTTTATAAATATAATCGTTTCTGTATATTTTGCATGATTTGTTGATATGAATTACTAAATACTCTGAACATTTTTCTTGCTATGGAAAACATTTGTTAAATTGTTTTGTGTCAGGGTACAGCACGTGCTTCTTGAATATATTTTTCAGTAACGACTGAGACCAAAAGTATGGAAATTTCTTGGTATTCCTAAACGGAAGATTTTATACACACAGTAGAAGAAGTATACTTAACAACAAAATTATTTTCATTTACCTGTGTATAATATGACGCAGGTTTCTTCAGAAGTGTATATTTTCTATAAATTGTTTGAAATTTCACAGTGATATCATACTTTAACTTTGTTTAAACCTGTTTATTTACTTTTGACTTTAATTATTTATCCCTTGTAATTTGTTATTAACTGTGTATTTGCATTCAGGTGTCACAGGTCAAATTTATTCGTTCATTGTGTGTTAATTTACGTTTTTTGATTGAGTTAAGCCTTCCAATTGATATTTTATAGTGTGTTTTTCTATGTTGTGATATTATACTATTGTTTCAGAAAAGGGAGAAGGTTTGGTACCATTAAAACGTTTAATTCCGCTGCAAATGTTTGCACCTGTCCTAAGTCAGGAATCTGATTACAGTAGTTGTCGTCTGTTAATGTAGTTCATACGTGTTTCTCGTTTTTATATAGATTAGACCGTTGGTTTTTCCGTTTGAATGGTTTTACACTAGTAATTTTTTGGAGCCCTTTATAGCTTGCTGTTCGGTGTGAGCCAATGCTCCGTGTTGAAGGCCGTACCTTGACCTATAATGGTTTACTTTTATAAATTGTAACTTGGATGGAGAGTTGTCTCATTGGCACTCATACCACATCTTCCTATATCTATCTAAAGCCAAACAAATTTAAAACGTTGAACACTACAAAACCATATTGCATTCAACCAAAACCTGAGTTATGCATTCGTGTCAATCGGCATTTCATTCGCCCTATTTTTTTTTTCATTTGCCCAAATTAAAAAAAAAATCGTTTGCAAGAATTAAGTTACAAGTAAACACGTGAGAAACATTAGTTTGATATACCTTGTTGACAAAGTTAAAACAACTAACACCTCTCTGTCTGCCATCGCTAAAATGCTCGCCAAGGTACATTTTGGATTCCCAGAAGGATGAGTAATTTCATGAACTTATAAAACTATTAACAACATTAGGGAAAACGTCACTATAACTTTTGTTGACGATAGATAGGTAAAAAAAATATTGATGTTATATGTACATAAACTTATTGGCTGTCCTGGCTGGATAGTTGTTAGTAGCCATTTATAATGCACTGTGATCATGAAATTTCATCTATGTCGTAAATCTAATGTGACGTGCATCTAAACTCATTGAAACCCACTGGTCTCTACTGTATTCGGATTAACATATTTTTTCAGTTTATATTAAAATGGCGCCATAGAAATATTTTTTTAGTACAAAGCTAAACATTGTTTTAGCACAAACATTGGAATTGTTTTTTTTTTTATCAAATACCACTTTGTTTTATCCGCTCCGAGTCGACCCTCTGCGCTGGTAAGATAATCAACCAGGAAGTACCAACCGTTTTCCATTTGCTAATTATTAACTTCAGATCTAAAACAATGCATTTCTGGTTGGGAAATCTGGCAGCTATTAGTTTGTGAATAAATAATTCAATAATTTAAAGTTTATCAAAGGTCAAGATCTTCTGATTGTAGATTTGCTCTTAGTTGTTATATTAATCAAACTTCCTTTATTAGATATTCATTTCTGGTAAACGTAATGAAGGCAAACGCTTCAATGTCTAACATTTCTGAATTTACATCAAATTCTGATGTTCACATTTCGAACAAGACAACAACAATCCATACGCCACGAGATGGGTACGACCTGCCTCTATTTGGTCTGGAAAACAATCACTTTGTATCTTTACATTTGACTGCACTTTCATGCATAAGCATCAGTCTAACGTTTTCAGTGATTGTTCTTGCTTTATCTTTCCGAACTTCAAATCACCGATTTTTCAGCAGGACCAAAAGCGAGCGTCTTGTAGTTTACATGGCCATATGCGATGGTCTTTTTAATCTGACTCATTCATTGGAACATTTGCAGATATACATTACAAAGAACCATGTACAGCCACGAGAACTTTGTATGTTTTACTCCTTCGTCATTGGGGAGTTCATATCCGCACAAATGTTCATGGTCAATGCGGTTTCTATTAATGCCTTTAGTATGATATACCTGAGAAAAGATATACATTTGGGAAAATATGACTGGAAGCTGTTGTTGTACACTTTTGGTATACCATTTGTTGTTCATCTGGTGTCAGCTTTTCTTGGAAAGCTTGGTCCAACAGGGATTTCGTAAGTATAAAATACTTCAGTGATATTTAATAGTCATGTTGATAAGCATCAGAACGTTTTGAAGAATTTATGACACTCTATTCCACGTCTAAAACTCATTGATCTTCAATAATAGTAAGTGAAACACAAACTAGATTTTATTGTTTTAAGTGTTGGTCCTTGTTTTATCTGAAGAATAACATCACATTAAGATAAATTGTTTTTGATATCAGTAATTCAATTTCTTTTCTATAAAAAAAATCCTTTTGTTTTTATATCATCTACATTAATCGATTTTTATATTATATAAAAAAATAGAATTCCTGATATCGATTTTTTTTTATATCAAGAATGTGTCAATAAAAGCGTCCTAGCTCAGCCATTAGCCAAAACATCAGGTTTGGTGTTTCGTTCGTGTTCAGGGAACGAATATCTCAGAACTCAGCTTCATTAGTAGTTAACTAATAAGTATTTTTGTGTTAAAGTTTTATTTACATAAATACCATTTTAATTGAATTGTATTATTGAACTGAACATCGGTTGTGAGTTGTAAATTTCAGTTTGCATTTTTGTGTTTCATATATCAATTATTCGTTGCTTTCGTAAAAAAATCTTGTAAATTCCCGTCTTTTTAAAAGTAGTTATTGATTTCCTCTGAAATATATATGTTCAGCCAGGGTTTTGTGAACTTAAGCCCCAGTGTTTTTTTTTTATCTATTTTTTTTAATTTATTTTCTGTTGTTTATGTTATGAATGTAGTAGGCTAGTTCTGTGTGCATGTTTAGTATATTAAAGTACTTCGTCTTTTTTCCAACCGCTCTTTAAAAGACGTTTTTGATACTCTGCTATTTTTTTTTTATTTGTCGTAATACCTCGCATTAATAAATCCTTTAAATACATTTCTTAGATGTGAGGTTTTTCTGTGAAGGAGTTGAAAAGTTTCAGTAGATTTAATGTACGTTTTCATATTTGAAAAATATCTTCGTTTTTGAAACGTTCGTCTTTGCAAACGACTTTGTCAAGAAAGTTAACTTCATTTTTTGAAAAATTAGAATGTAACTTTAGATTGGTATATATTGTATTAGGTCAGGCGGCAAGTTCTTGTATTCCGCCCGTTAAACCTGAATATATCATCCAGCCAACGTCTCTAAATCTTGAACACATTAGTATTATGCTTCGATGTGTCAATCTTTGTTAAACACTTTCCAGTATTTCGTACATTCGTAGGTCGACTAATTCCGCTGGCGCCCTTCTGCCTATTGGAACTACAAGCGTTTGATAGAAAAAACTACTATTATGAGTAAATATGTTATTTTTTAGAATAATGTCTTACAGTTTCATTATTTTGTCTTTTGGTGGTACTCGAATTTCGTAATAAGTAGGATCGAGGTAATTCAGTGTTCGTTCTGTTGTTTGTAAAATTTCTCTAAACTTAAGATTAGTGTACAATGTTTTTGGCATCAAAAGTTATTAGATAGCAGTTTTCTTGAGGTTTTGTAGTCTCAATCATGTTCATAAAACTTAAAGTATCAGTGATATAATTATTTTGTTTTTGCACCAAAGGAACCGGGGTAACCAATATAATGACCAATATCGTCTAGAGGTATTCCAAATTATGACACAATTAGTCTACCGGGAACATTATTTGCATATATTTCCTGATGTTTGGAATATTGTGAGCTAGAGATCGTTAATTAACATACAGCTGCCATTATTATTTTTTTCCCTTAATTTCTGATATAAAAAAAGAAGTACATCTCTTAATATAACAAAATGATTTTTTGATGTCAGGAATTCGAATTTTTGTTATCAGGAAATCAATTTCTTGATACATATAAAAAAAAAATTCTGATATGAAAAATTCAAATTTCTAATACAATTTTTTTTTATCTGATATCAATTTTTTGATATCATCTTTTCATAAATCGTAAAACGGTGCCTCATACTATCAGCTACGATGGCAGTATGTGATAAGACTCATTGTTCGTACAAATGGCGTCTGTTCGGCTGGTTTTTTTTGTGTATGATTTCTCTCGTCTGCATGTTTGGAATCAATTTTTAGAAATAAAAGTGTTGGGAAAATCTCAAGCTCACGAGACTGTCATGAATAAACAATAATACATTCGTTTGTTTTTCTTGGACCTTTGAACTTCAAAATGTTTGAACTTTATTATGTACGCACTCAACTATATGCACCAAGCAACAGTCTCCATATTGATAATGAATTAATGATAATTATGTAAAATGCAACTTCCCCATATTTTTTTTCAACACCGCTGGTTAGTTTTTAGCGTATTTCACTAGAGATCATAAAAATTTAGTTGCAAATCGTATGAACCTTTGTGATTGTACAAAGCTATTAAATGCATTAAATATACGAGTTGGAAAGATTTTCTTAACGATTATTGACGTAATATTGTACGAAGTAGTAGAATAAGATGACTCTAAATCAGCCAATGACACTTAATTGAATTTTCATCCAACTGACTCTGCATGTTAGATTTGCCACTGAATATTCAGCAACTTGAATAAATAAGAGCTTTTAGAAATGAATGTTAACAAACAGGATGTATGGAGACACACACACGTTCATTTTTATCTATAAAGAAGTCACTCCTAACTATCCTACTACCTGTCGATACATTTATTTTTGGCATTGCACAAGTCATGTCTTCTTTGACTGTTCATGACGTTAAAATACTAAATCCCTGGGATGTTTTTTAGTTGATTTTAGTCTCTGATGCATGATTTTTTATTATTAATTGTTTTGGCTTTTAACTAGCTGTCAGTAACTGCTACATATGTAGTACTCTCAAATCGTACTTTCTTGTTGGTTTGACCTGTTGATACTATTTGTAATGCTTTTTTGTTATTTGATGTTAATATGGATCTTGTCTATATACCAGCTTTGATTATTTGGAATTACTACAAATTTTCACTTCTTCGTACTATGAACATCAAAATTATTTCATTTCTCCTTAAATGCTGTTTTTGCACCTGTACAGGACGTTTTATCTAGCACTAATTGTATAGTTTTATTGTTGATATTCACCCCATATGTAGCAAGTGTTAGATAAGTTTTATTGATATTAAAGAAATTTCTTGGTATTCCTAAACGGAAGATTTTATACACACAGAAGAAGTATACTTAACAACAAAATTATTTTCATTTACCTGTGTATAATTTGACGCATATTTTTTCAAAAGTGACGATTTTCTAAATATTGTTTAACATTTCACCGTGGTATCATACTTTGTTTAAACCTGTTAATTACTTTTGACATAAATTATTTATCCCTTATAATTTTTATTAACTATGTATTTGCATTCAGGCATCACAGATCAAATTTATTCGTTCATTAATTGTGCGTTTTTTGATTGAGTTAAGCCTTCCAATTGATATTTTATAGTATGTCTTTCTATGTTGTGATGTTATACTATTGTTTCAGAAAAGAGAGAAGGTTTTGTACCATTAAAACATTTAATCCCGCTGCATATGTTTGCGCCTGTCCTAAGTCAGGAATCTGATGTACAGTAGTTGTCGTCTGTTTATGTAGTTCATACGAGTTTCTCGTTTCTCGTTTTTATATAGATTAGACTGCTGGTTTTCCCGTTTGAATGGTTTTACACTAGTAATTTTTGGGGCCCTTTATAGCTTGCTGTTCGGTGTGAGCCAAGGCTCCGTGTTGAAGGTCGTACCTTGACCTATAATGGTTTACTTTTATAAATTGTTACTTGGATGGAGAGTTGTCTCATTGGCACTCATACCACATCTTCCTATATCTATATAGCAAGAATTTTACTGTATGCAAGAAAACATTTAGACTTAACTTTTATTAATTTTGTTTATAGATGCCATTTTGATGCCATTAAAGGTGCGGATTTATTGTTTTTTTACTCCACGATGCTTACATTCGTTGTAATCGTCGTAAACAGCATACTTTATATTGCCACGTGGATTAGAATTTACAAGGAAAGTACGGAAATAGCAAACACACTAGGAAGTGCCGCTCAGTCTATTAAATGTGTCCACAAATCTGCAAGGAATATGTCACTGTTCGTCGCTGTATTTTTGATACAATGGTTTCCATTGGCCGTGTACTCTATAACTGCCCTACTTGGAGAAATACCGGAAGTAATTATGTACCTGGCTATTTCCTTCACAAATATCGGAGGAGTTCTGAATGGAATGGTTTTTATCATTATCAAACGGCGAAAAGAACATCACAAATGAAGACAGATCTAAGTTATTCTGTAGTTTCATATTTGCACATGACGTCAGAATAACGTATTGTTTTAACTTTTTTGAATGTAACACGTTTGGTGGATATTTCAACGCCTAATACATAACTGCAACAGAATGACCTTGATCTTCTACCTCGATAAATAGCATGGACAAGATATACATACATTTGAGAACAATATGTATTAATAGAGTATCCGAAACATATTGTTGATAAAACCCAACAACATTTGCAGGTTAGATTTCGTCTCAGTTTTCTATGATTCGACATGTCACTGAAAACAATTCCCACTTTTAGTCTCAATACACGATAATTTTTCAGATGATACAAGAAGCATGAGTTAATGAAGTGACAACTACAATTAACTTTCATTCGACGGTACTGTAATGAATGCAAGCGGGTGGTAAGACAAATTCAAAAAGTAAGACATGACTGTTTTTATGTACAAAATGAAACGTCGAATAATTATATAAATTTAAAATTCACATACACCATGAACGTGGAACACCCCAATTTAGTTAGAAAATATTTCCAATAAATAATGTTCATGATATGTCATCTGTGTCATCAGCTATGTCGTATAGTACGGCCTGGACATTGTTACAATTGCCTACATTTTGAAAAAAAAAACACAAATTCGTGCAACATAGACTGATTGATTGTTGGTTGCTTAACGTCCAGAGGCAAATATTTCATGCGTGTTCAGGACGAGAACACATTAACAATTAATACAATAGGTATGTTTTGTAACAGAGGACTTTCGTGAAGAACATGGGGTAAAATTGGACTGCCACTGGAATATGAGGATATATTGGATAGGAACAAAAATTGTGCCTTGCAACAGGCCACCAACGAAACTTTTATCAAGAAATCTTACGACTAAAATTGAAAGTAAGTTATACTGAAATGTTCATGACTTACGAGTATTTTTTCTCGTAATATTGTTTTAGAAATGAGTCACAGCTCCTTGTTAACGCATGCTGTCTGCACATGCTTTCCACCTTACACGAACAAACAAGGTCTTGTAGAGAGTCTGATGTCATTTGTCCTTCAAAGAAAACTGCCTCTTGCATGGTGTGCCATTTTTTGGGTTGGCAACATTTGCCTACACCCAAACTTTGCTTTGCATGGTGAACGTACAAATGTAGTACGTGTTGCTTAATTACTAACTCACATGGCAGAAGTTTTATTACACTTTTATCTTTTTATATAGCCAACTGTCATAGCAAATTTAATTTGTTGTGCGATTTATTGAACTGATATATTTTAATTCGTATAACGCAGTTACAAACACCCTAGCATCATCTATAGCACTATTAACAGCACCATGTGCTAATGCTACAAGATTACTGAAGTGGCTTGCTTTCGTCCGAAGGAGGTTGCATAACGACTTTGTACCGATTACATAAATCTTGAAGTGAAAAAAAATCCACTCAAGGCACGAATGATCGGCAGAATTTCGGCGACAACTGGGTCTATAGACGAAACAGGGGCGTAAACTGAGATAAATTGTTTGTTATCCTTCAAGTTGTTAATTGGACCAGTATGAACACATACTTCTTAATTTTGTAATTTTAAGCATCAAGTAGAAATGGACAGCCGGAACAAGAACGCGAGTATCATCTGATTTGATAAAAATTCTATCTTTACCGTCTTTTCCACTAAACATAGCATCAGCATGAAAAGCATGGAGAACCATTGTGGTATCTACCTCTTCGTGCTTACAACGTGAAGTCGGACAGCTGATAACAATACCGTCTGTCGGCTTTTAAACAATTTTTGATTTTGCTTTGATGTTATTAATTGATGCTTTAAAGGCGTCGCCAATATAAATGACGTTTTCAAATTAAATGTTTGATATACCATGTCCTTGTTTAGAAAAGAACACTATGGCATCCGTGTAGTGCTTCTTAAGTTTAGCCTTGAGTTTATAGAAATTGCAGTAGGTCTCAATAATTTTATTTGGTATGAAAGACTTGTATACATTAATAACATTGATCAAATAACAAGAGTTTTTAGTCACGAATAAGGTCGTTGTCAATAATTTTAACTACTCTTGGTGTAATTTGGTCTTTATGCCAAACATGTGATCAAACATGCAGCATGATAAACTCAGTTATTGATCAAATTCTCATGCTTTTTTCGGTATATTATATCAGCTTCGCCTGCTCTAACAGCACCACCATTTAGATTTGCTAATCTTCCAGCATGGTATGAAATGTTTTCACTTTCTATGAGACATTTATTTTCTTGCAAATTATACACTTTAACATTACTTTCAACAACATAAAATTGGATAAATCTGGCCTCATATCTGGTGCTTTGGGCAACCCGATATTCCGACACCCCATTAGTCCGACACCCTATAGGTTCGACACCCAATAGTTTGACATTCCATTAGTCTGACATCGAAATATTTAACCAAAAAATGTATTTATTTTTATATTAGAAAGCCAAATAAAAGATTCGTTCAAAATAAAGGAATGACGCTGTCCGTCGTGGGAACAGGTGCTGCAAGCTAAGTCAATGTAATAGTACTAAAAGTATCAGAATTTTATCACCACTAGCTAAAAGCACAAAATACTTTGTTATTAAAGTCTTGGCGAATTGCTTAAATATCTCTGGATACCGTATCTCAGAGATACAGGTTAAAAATGACGCAGAAAGAAATAAAGGAACCAATGAAGCTTTGCTTCGTACGCGATAATGTGTGAATATGGCTTGAGTGAATAATTAAGACAGTCACGTTTTTCTGGTAAAACTCTAGCGATAAAAAGTAATAACGGTGCTGTAATTCAACTAAACCGTCTAATTAAATTAATTTTTTGAAAAGGGGATTTGAAATGTAACAGGTTAATGTCATTGAAAAAGAACATCAGTTTAGTTTGTATATATGGACACCGATATTTAAGAAAGAGTGAAATTAGGGCAGAACATTTGAATTTTCCCGGCGAAAGCATCGTAACTGGTAAACATGTCGTTTTTCAACAACATAGACGCAATGGGCGATACATCTGTCATTACATCCAGTGGCAAATATTTCATGCATGTTTAGGATAAGAACTAATTATCAATAAATACAATAGGTAAGTCCAGTAATAGGGGTCGACCAGAATGAAGAGCGGTAACTTGGAAGTAGTAATATTCACTGTAAGTCAATTCCAACGGCAAATGCCATCCGTTGAGTTTAACAACCGTAATAAAGTGCAAAATGTATTCAATAAAGAACCAAATATATCGACTGTTTAATCTTACTATGGATAGTTTCGATTTTTAAATTCAAGTTCGGTGTAAATGGAAACCAACATGCTTGGATATAATAAGTTTTTGTTTGTTTGTTATATTGAAATCTTTTCAGTTAGAGTATATTGCAGTCTGGACATTTTGTTTACGACGATAGACTGTTCTTCGAATTACAAATTCTCTTCACATAAACGGTGACTGGGTATAGAAATATGGGGGTTTTTTTTATCGATAAAGTAAACCCCTTGCCAAAGTGGGGCGTCCTTTGGTTATGCTGGATGCATAAATACGTAGCCATGTTCGATCTGGATAAGGACGTTAAATCCAATGCCTCGTGTTAAGAGAGTGGCACGCTCTCTGCACTTTAAGAAACCTTGCAGCAACTCTTTGATAGGTCCGTAGATGGTTTCCACACTTGTTTACCTATATTTGCTCCTCCTAACAGAAGTTCCTCTGGAAACTTTGTTATAAACAATGCTATAATATTTTGTTCCTTTCGAACAAATATTATATATACCCTTTATTCCGTAAGCACAAATAACGTAATATTTTTTCCAGTGGAAATAATATTCCATATTTAGAACATATATTATAAAGGAACTTCTATTCCATGACAGTCTTTTGCCAGGCCAAATTTCTATGCCTATCCAATATACCCTCGTGGCAGCCCAAATTTTCCGCCCTCCATCCCGGTCGATTCCTTATTACAGGTCATCACTTTTGTATTAATTATTAATTGTTTTCGTCCTGAACATGCTTAAACTATTTGGCACTGGACGTAAAGAAAACACCATTCAATCAATCAAATTCAAAGGTTGTCGATTGCCTTATATTTATAGGATAATGGTATGTCTTACATACATGTGCCAGTTGAGAAGTGCTGTCTTTTCCATTTCTTTGTTTGAAGTAGATTTTCAATTACAGCTTGTGTCAGACTATTGGGGTGTCGGACCAATGGGGTGTCGGACTAATGGGGTGTTGGACCAATGGGGTGTCGGACTAATAGGGTGTTGGACTAATGGGGTATCGGTATAGCGGGGCGAGCCCTGGTGCTTCCTTCCCAGTCGTGTTATACTGATTTCAAATTCTGTTTACTTATGTAGCTTTTAAAACAAGACCTTTTATACCTAAATATGGTTGAATCAGTTTACGTATCATTACATAGTTGAAATAGATGAATAAATCATCACGTCTCACTGCTGCAGCATTTAGGAGACTTGTTTTTAGATTCTGTTGCTATTCTTAAAATTTCAGCAAAAACAAAATTGCAGGTAATGTATTTGTCTTCTCCAACTTCAGAGCACCTTTTCTTGGCATCGGACGGTGCCAGTTTTAACGAACTAGTGTAATTGACCTTTTACTTGAATATCCAACAGATCGAATACGCATGCATGAAAACCAAACACACCCTACAATGATTGTCAATTTCACGGTTAAATTCAACAAACACCTTTAAAATACACATTTATTGCACGTGCTAGGTGAAAAACAGTGATTTCCCCCCCCCCCCCCCCCCCAGTATCAACCGCTCTTTAAATATAAGTTATTTGAGGTGGCACGGTAGTATTTACATTCCGGAATTTAAGTTGCTCTTTTGTGTAACCTACTCAATGTATCTGAACAGTATGATTGGACAAAAAATACAGTATATACTTAACATTACTTTCCCAAACTGAGGGATTGATCAGGTGTAGAAAATATGAAACAATTTTACATACAGGTGAAAATGATTTTTTGGAGATTTTTT